GGCCATCCCAGGGTCAGACTCTGCAATCCATTGCTGCCTTGTGTTCCTCCCGGCTTCTCTCCTCCCCTCCCGCTGCTTGGCTTTGTTGCTTTTTGTGGAAATCACAGCACCAGGATTCTTTTTAAAAACAGCATTCTTCTCCTTGGTTCCTCTCCTCCTCGTTCCTCACGATATTTCTTCTTCGAAAGTTAGGAGCAGGTTACCAGACAGCCGACACTTGTTGGAGCTGCTGGCAGTGCAGGTCGTCCCTCTGAGCCTCTATGCTCTCCCTTCCCTGTTGGTTCTTTTCCCTCCCACCCTCGTTCTCTCTCTCTCTCTSTGTGTGCTACTGTTGAGGAAGTGCTCTCTTGTTATTTTTTTTCTAACTCTCCTCCCTTTCTCCAGCCCATCCTCTAATAGTGATTTAGTGTCACATTTCAGCACCTGCTTTGGCACAAAAGAGGTCAGAAAGACAAAGGTTTGAAGACAAATTCAAGTGAAAAGTGTTGGAAATGGACTCTTTTCAATTACAAAACTGAGTCTGTGTGCACTACCGGAGTGGGAGACAGRCACTAAGTCATACTGTACAGGTTTAAAACAGGTTCAAATCCTTGCAGGAAAAAAAATGTGAGTACTGCAGATCAGTGGTTCTCAAAGTTGGGTTCAGGACCCCTCTGTGGGTCGTGAAACTTCAAGTGAGGGTCTCCAGATGACCTCAGTTTAAAAGCAAATAACCTGTTAATGGAATCATCTCACCCTATTTAAAAAGGGGAACCGCAGAGTGTGTTCCAACTACAGGGGGACCTCTCTGGTAAGGTCTATTCAGGGGTCCTGGAGAGGAGGGTCCGTCGGATAGTCGAATCTCGGATTCAGGAAGAGCAGTGTGGTTTTGGTCCTGGTCGTGGAACAGCGGACCAGCTCTACACCCTCAGCGGGGTCCTGGAGGGTGCATGGGAGTTCGCCCAACCAGTCTACATGTGTTTTGTGGATTTGGAGAAGGCGTTYGACTGTGTCCCGTGTCCCTCGGGGACTCCTGTGGGGGGTACTCCGGGAGTATGGGGTACCATTGATACGAGTTGTTAGGTCCCTGTACGACCGGTGCCAGAGCTTGGTCTACATTGCCGGTAGTAAGTCGGATTCGTTTCCGGTGAGAGTTGGACTCCACCAAGGTTTCACCGATTCTGTTCATAACTTTTATGGACATAATTTCTAGGTGCAGCCAAGGTGTTGAGGGGATCCTTTTTGGTGACCTTAGGATCATGTCTCTGCTTTTTTCTGATGATGTGGTCCTATTGGCTTCATCAGATTGTGATCTCCAGTTCTCACTGGAGCGGTTCGCAGCCGAGTGTGAAGCGGCTGGGATGCGTGCCGCCTCTGTGTCAGGGAGGAGGTCCTGCACCAAGTGGAGGAGTTTAAGTATCTCGGGGTCTTGTTCATGAATGAGGGAAGAATGGAGCGAGAGATTGACAGGCAGATTGGTGCTACGTCTGCAGTGATGCGGGCGCTGTACCGGTCTGTCGTGGTGAAGAGAGCTGAGCCAGAAGGAGATGCTTTCAGTTTACCGGTCGGTCTACATTCCTATCCTCATCTATGGTCACGAACTTTGGGTAGTGACTGAAAGAACGAGATCGTGGATACAAGCGTCCGAAAAGAGTTTCCTCTGTAGAGTGTCTGGGCTCTCCCTTAGAGAAAGGGTAAGAAGCTCAGTCATCCAGGAGGGACTCAGAGTAGAGCCGCTGCTCCTCCACGTTGAGAGGAGCCAGTTGAGGTGGCTCGGGCATCTGGTTAGGTTTCCTCCTGGACGCCTCCCTGGTGAGGTGTTCCTGGCATGTCCCACTGGGAGGAGACCCAGACACGCTGGAGGGACTATGTTTCTCGGCTGGCCTGGGAACGCCTTGGGATTCCCCCAGAGGAGCTGGTCAAAGTGGCTGGGGAGAGGGAAGTCTGGGTCTCTTTACTTAAGCTGCTGCCCCCGAGACCCGACCCCGGATAAGCGAAAACAGATGGATGGATGGACAGATGGAATCATTTCACCATATTTATTGCAAAAATTTAATATAATAATAATAATAATAATAATAATAATAATAATAATAATAATAATAATAATAAAAGAAAGTATAGTTTACATTATCATGCCTATGTTTAACAGAGTTTTAGCAAAGTTTTCATACCAGTTATCTGGGGTCCCAAGTTTCTGCAACTGTTGTTTTGTGGACCGGAAGTTAAAAAGTTCGAAAACCACTGGTAGAGATCTTGTGAAGTGGCAATTTGTAAACAGGTTAGTAACAGTTAATATCTAAGCTGTTGTAGATAACGTCTTAAACAACCACTGTTTGGAGAAACAGACCAAATCTGACCAAAACTCAGATTGTTTTTGCTTAAAAATCTCTAATCTCTAAATTTGAATGTGACCCAGAACCTCAATGTTGACCTTGCTGGACCGACTCGAGGTTTATTCCTGAGACCTGGCACCAAAACATCAAATGTTCTCATTGGATCGATCCAAAGTTATCACTGACCGGTGTTAGTGAAGGATGAGCTGATCACATCCTCAGAGCTGCACTGTTCCCAGCAGCAGAATCATCTAAAGGAGGTTGTGGTACAAAGAGAAACACTGCATAGGTCTCACCATGAATGTACACCTCTGTTTATCTCAACAGCAAAGTAAAAAAAATAATAAACAGCTGAACTGGTTAATATTTTCAAAGTAATATGTGCACAGAAAGCCTACAAAACGCATTTAAAAACAAGTAAACTTGTATTGTTTTTAACTCCTTCATGTGAATTCCTGTCTTATTGTCTACTTTGCAACGTTTTTACCTTCAAGCTGGTTTTGGGTTTTCCTCTGCAGCTATAGTCTCCCTTCTCCCTCCACCGACTGGTGAGCGGAGCAGCCAGTGTCCACAGTGCATACCTGTGCTCCCTGACAAGTACTAACTCACTCTACCTGCAGGCCACTGCACAGGAACGCTCAGAAAATCATAACAATCTGAAGACGAACGTGGCAAAGAGGGAGGAAAGGAGAGAGCGGGAGGAGAAGAATGCACTGAAAAAGTAAAGATGGCAGGAATTAACTAGGATATAAAAGAGAGAGAGAGAGAGGAGCGGGGAGGAGGGCAGATCAAATAAAAGTCAGAAGTTGCTCAAGGCTACAGGCATCATTGGATAAGATGAGAGGAGGGAGAGGAAGAAAGAAATCATTAACAGTCGCTTGTCTGACTCGTAATAAATCAGGATTTTCATACGTCTCTGCTGCTGGGAGAAAGCTACGGTACAGAGAAAAGTAAAAGTAGATGGCTGATGGAGGGGAATGATTAATGCACCATGAAGTACCTAAAGTACAGGATCAAATAGCTGAGACACAATTAYCCAAAACTCTTCCGTGTTGCATTCATCAAACTAGATTTATTTTGCTCTAAAATGTTTAAAAGGCAAAAAAAAAAAACTTGTTTGTTTACATTTTGTGCATTAATGCTCAAAAATATTTGAATATAAATACAGTGCAGGACATTCAAACACTTACATGCTTAATACTGATGAGGGAAAACATAAAAAAATACAAATTGACTTTTTTTAAATTAACAATAAACACAATCTATTCTCTCCCATCTTACAGTAAAAGCCAGCAACAAGAGAAAGGCAAACTTTGACTTTATGGCTAAAAACATTATTTTAAATAAAGGTTAACTAAAGGAACTCTGCTCAGTCTGTGAAACCAGTTCATCATCTTCAATCTCTTCAGAAGAGCACTTTCAAGTGTGAGAAAATTGGGGTTATCTTTACTCGAGGTTAAACACTACAAATGATTGACAGAGAGCCGGTCTTACAAACTAAAGTGCAATCACATTTTTCACCTCAGGGCTCCTTCAAAAAGATAAAGAAAAAAAACCTTTACTGTGTCTTCAAGAAAAACATTGCATAATGATTGCAGACACATTTTACAAAATCTGCACTACAGCTGGGATAAGTATTATTAAACTCCTGTCATCACAAATWAATACCTAAACAAACCTGAGGTTGGGTGTGAGACACACCGGTCCCCAACAGGACCTGTAAACAAGAGCTAACAAAACAAGCTACAATTTGAAGGTTGTTGCTAACCGATTCATTTAAAGGGGGATGTTAACCCCTAATTTACATTACATGCATTACAGCTCCGCTCCGCTGCGCTGTGCAGGTCGCAGCTGCGCGTTTCAAGTCCAGTTTACATTAACTCCGCTCCGCTCCGCTCCGACAGACGTGCAGGAAGCAGATCGCGCAATAAATTCAGTGATAAGTGTGGAAGTCACAGCAAAAAATAATTAATTCTGTGAAAGACAAACTCCAAACACAGCTGAAAACAATGATATAAAGGCTTTTGGTRTCCATGTTGAAACTGTCTCGCTGTCGGCTTTCTGAAACTTCTGATTTCAAAATAAAATCCACGTGTATCGTGTGTGTGTACACATGCTTCATGCTACATGTTTCTATCTGCTTCCCAAACTGAACAATACATTCTGACAGCATTTGTGTAGAAATATATCCATATATTTATTAATATAGCTGCAATTTCGACATTATTTCGACAAATTATCCAGCCTAAAAGTGTCTTATTTTGAAAATACGGATGTTGTGCTTGTTTCTTTTCCTGTTGGTGCGAAGTAATCTTTAAAAATTGACTCCGGCGCAGCTCCTGTGTCCGGCAAAAATAGGATCTGTTCTAATTTGGACGGATCGCCGTCCGCTCACCGCCGCCGTGCGCAGCCGGTGTAAACTCTCTCATTGGTTATAATGGGTGCGTATTTGCTGCGGAGGTCGGACCGGAGCGGAGCGGAGACAGAACGTATGTAGTGTAAATTGGGGGTAAGTATTTTCCAGTCACAACAATCAAGCAACTATGTTACCTCCAGTTGTTATGAAAATTCTGTAAATATCAAAAATAAATTGGACTTTGCATCATAGCCTATCTAAGCTTGGCTGGGGACTGAGCTCCAGGGAGGAGTTTTGTGTAAATAGGCGGAGCTTTGTACCCGCCAGCGTTTAGGCAGCTCCACATGACTAMAACAGGAGATTCAGGGATTTCTCAAACATGCATGAATGAATCAAAGCAACACTTTARGTATGTTTTTGATGAGRGAATATTATAACATGATGAYAAGCTAAAAAAWAAWCTATTTTGCATAAAATAACCCCACCACCCCTTTAAAATCAGAGTTCCATTAATCTTTACATATGCATGATGAAAACATGTTTTTGTTTCAACAAAAAAACGTCAACTTTTAGTTAAGGTGAAGAAAGATGAGTTTTGTTTTCATTCTATATCTGATTATCATTATAGCTGTGCAGCAACATATGCATCAATAAAAAAAACAAGTTCTTACAAAGACAGACTTTCACATGGTGAAAAAGTTAAAGCGTGCCGTCTCAGATGCAAACGAGCGTCTTCCTCCAGCATCATTCCTTTTCTGCAGAGAGGTCCTAGCTTAGGATTCCACTGGACGCGTTGCTTGCTTCAGGAGGGGCAATTAGATTTAGACGAGGAAGGAATGGAAGTAAAAAAAAAATGCAGAAAGAGGAGAGAGATTAAATGAGCTAAACTGGCTTCTGAAACTAAAAAATAATGGCTGACAAAATATTTACTTTTGCTGGAGGCGAATCAAAACAAATTGATAWGGTGCAACATGCTCAAACTACACACTAAGAAAGCACTGAAACACAGAAGCTGAGGAGTTTGAAACACTGGAAATAATAAATAATTCTAATCAGCCTGAAACTAAGTTACAACATGCATTTCTTCAACTTGATTTAAAGGAGACACATCCTGCTTTTAAATCCTTCTTTTCACATGTAAATCATTCAGTCGGGGTCTACATAAAGTGGAACTGATAATGCTTCCTTATTGTAACTCCACAAGCCCCTCTTTCACCTCTTTTCTGAGGTGTGYCTCAGATCARCTCATTTTGATGMTGTGTCTTTAAACCCAAACAAGGGGCTTCACACCCTTCCCTGCTAAAAAAACTAATAAAAAAATGGATTTTGCATCATTTGTCCCCTTTAACACAAAGGCTCATGAAGACAGAAATAGCTAACAATGTTGCGATTTGCTAAATTGTGAGCGTCGTAGCATTTTTCGTTGATGACATTACAAACAGAATAAATATATTTTCTCACGGTAAGTCATTCACTTACTTGTGCAGTTCCGACACAAACACTAAAACACATGACAACGTCCTGAGGTCAGTAGACAGGGACACACACACAAACACAGGAGAGAGTGAAAACACACACTATGGTTGCTGTGCTCTCTTCTGAATGGACAGTTTGTGAGCTACGTGAGCACACTGTTTTATAGGATGTGGAACCACAAGTTGTAAAATCATTAATATGGTGAAACATATGTGAGTTTGCACTGTTTCCCTGTGGATAAGAAGATGACTGCCTGGACCAGAGCGGTTCTTCACTGCTGTCTGTGTCTTCAGCCATTGCTCGTTGTTACTCGATCATMATTATATTTAAATCATGTGCCATAATATAAACGTTCTGTGATTCGAGATGTGTGTGTCCCATGTTCCTACTGACCTGGGCTGGAGGTGCCTGGAGAGCCWGAGGTGGCCCACTGGCCTCGACTCACCAACAGGGCCTCCTGGTTTTCAGCCAGTGCTTGCTTCGCCAGGTAGCGCTCCCTTTTCATCTTCAGCTCCAAGGACTCGGGGACATCAGGTACGATCCAGTCGATGGCTCGCAGCACAAAGAACACAACATGCTGAAGGAGAGGAAAACAAGGTGACAGGAAGCTGAACAGTTGGGTTACTTTAGACCTGATAGAGAAKAATTTCCATTTTGAATCATTTCTAGCTTCTGACAAAGCACACTATCYAGAACTGGGATGGGCAACTGGTGGTGTGCGGGCCATATGTGGCCCGTTGGTGACATCCATCTGGCCCACAAATAATTCTACCCCTACCACACAAAAAACCTATGTGTAAAGTCTGCTTAGAGATGTGGCCTGATGAAGCATTTTAATATGAGCTGCCACCACAACACGTTGCACAAAGCTAAATATGAGACGTTTACTGAAGCTGCAAGTGCATAAACAACAGCGACTTTTCACCAGAACTATAACCGTGCAGGATTCAGCAGTCTTGTGTAGGGCTCGATTCACAGGGCATGAGATAGATTTTTCTCCATGGCGTCTTGTGTGTGCGTCCGTTTTGTCACTCCTGGCTTGCCGTATGTTTACATCCGATTGACGGTCAGTGCTAACATTAGCTTTCAATAACAAGTTGTCTGCGGCAAAACAAAAGAAACTAAGGAGCCAATAACGTTGTCAGCTGATTCTGAGCAGAACTTAAAGACAACAGAGACCATGGCGACTTTTGTTTGCAAAGATTTGCGCTCCTACACGGTAGCGAAAACGAAGCAAGCTTCGACGAGCGGCTCATTCAGGCGCTCGAACCAAACAACTGTATGTAAGCATCTGACTGAAACTGTTCTCCACAGCTTGTATAAATGTGTGAAAGATGAAAAATCTAACTAACTAACAAAATCGTTTAGTTTTGTTACCAATATTATTATTTTTAAACTTTAAGAAACATCTTAATGAAATTCAC